AACATCTCGGTACCTTCCCTAATCCATCCATTTGAAATGTTAAAATGCCACTAACAGAGTTCTGTGCACAGGGAGAATTATACAATTGGGCTCACAGATGAAATATCATTCCTGCCTCCACCCAAATAATCACAACGCCCACAGCTCTACTCAAAACTAGAAAATCAAGCTCACCTCAGCTCCTGTCTCCAGTAAAAGCTGTAATAAACTATGCAACATGAAGTGGTAGCATTTGTGTCCCAGGCAGCAGTGAACACGCCAGACAGTCCTCTCTTCTGCCAGCCTCAAGAACAGCAGAATAAAACATGAATTTATGCACAGACTCTGTCCACTGCTAATTTCCAAACATTGCGAAGGCACAATGATGAAAAGCCCCACTCAAAGACTATTATTCTTTTTAATCCTCAGATGCCATGCTGCAGCCCATTTTCCATAAATACTGGATTTTACTGACTCTACTAATTTAAAAAATGCATGATAATGACACCAAACTAGTCAGTAACACTAAGGTGTGACTTACTGTGCAGTTCTTACCCTGCTGCAAGAAATAAAACCCTGTTTTCCCCATACAGTCAAAGAATTCCCAATTACCACCATACATTCAAAGAATTCCCAATTACCACAGGGACTTCCAAAGAGCCAGAGACAGGGAAAGTGCATCTAAAGCAGATAAGAAACAATTAGAGTCTATTTTAATACCAAGTCAGGAGCAAATCACCAATTAAAACTTCTCAAGGGTAATTATGTGTAAATTCTACCTCTGCTGTTTTCCAATCATAGCAACAGAAACTACAGCAGGGTTATAAATAAAACTCATTTGCAAGCAACTGCAGAGAAGAGTCACCAGTTCCTCAGCGAGGTCCTGCAAAAGCAAGAGCCTCCTTTCTTTTATTGGCCTTTAATAAACAGAAAGAAACATAAAGCAAGTCCTGCAGCCGTGCAATTGCTCAACCCTGAAGTGTGTTTGGAACGGTGACAGGAAGAAAAATACAGTTAACTCCGGGAGTGAAAAAAAATTAATGGCACACAAATGTTTCTTTAGTGTCATAACAGGATACAGCCGAGCTCGGGCCGGCCTTTGGTGGCCAAGCAGAGGCTGGAAATGGCCGAAATTCAACTTTTCAGGCTGGCCCCAGCGTGGCCTTGGGAAGAATAAAGGCCTTATCTCAGCCAGCCATGTGTGGCCGGCCATGCACAGCTCACAGCAACGCCCAGAGCTGGCCAGTGTCCGGCCAGCAGAGCTCCAGAGGCAGGGAATGTGGGCACACTCCAGCAGGAACAGGAAACCTCCTCCAAAAAACCAAAAAACCCTGCCCAGCTGCCTGCCACCCCTCAGCTGGATCTCAAATCTACTACCCCCCACCCACCCCCGCCCAAAAACAGCATCCAGCAACAAAAATCCAACCCAGCACCAATGAGGAGCCAAAAATATTTTTTTTTTTTTTTTTCAGGTTAAAAGATATGGGAAATCTCACCTAAATGCAGAGCTGGATGAAGCTCAGTCACCTGACTGATTTTAGATACCTTTAGGATAAGAAAGGTCCCCTGGATGTGCAGATTTCCTTCCACTAACGATCGAGTCGAGCCAGATGAGCAGCTCAGGGATGTCTACCTCAAAGACTTACTAAGCTCAGCAAGATAAATGCCACCTTAGGAGGCCTCTGAAAACACAGCATAGCTAAGGGAGGATTAAATTAAGAGGGTGTAAATGTTTACAAACATAAAGGAGCAGAGCAATAAGGCTGGAGATGAAGAGTGTGATATGGTCCAATGGGCACCAGGACTATGGGGAAAAAAAGCAGCTGACAAAGTGAAAGAACATCCTGAGAGGAAGAAGGGGAAGTTAAATCAGTGTTTAACTCTCTCAAATCATCAGCAGCCGTGCAAGGCACCACGGCTACCCGGGAGAACGTGTGTTTTTAAGCCTCAAGTGCTCTTTAGGAGATAATTTTTTGTCTGCCTGCACCCTTTAGGTGCTCCCCCAAATGCTGAGGGGGAGCAGTGTCAGGAGCTCCTCCACCAACTCAGAAGAGACATTACACTCTCAGGAGCCTTAACATCTGCTCTGCCCTTTTTGTTTAATGCCTGATGTTCTCCCACTCCCCAGGCACTCACTTCCCTCCAGACTGAAGGCACTTGAAGAAAAAGACACCAGAAATCGATGCTGCTTTGGGAATTCTGGTAACAGAATCTGAGCATAACCACCACCAAAACTAACTGGGTTAAGGTTTAATGCACAGAGAGAATGAGCCCAGACACACTCAGATATGAATTGGCCTGACTGTGTTTCAGCAGTGCCAGACACTAAAATCCATTCAACTTTCCTGGGAAAGAGAACAAAAATAAAAGAAGGGAAAAAAAAAATAAAGAAAAAAAGTAAGGGACTTAATAAAAACATCATTTATCATCCTGGCTCCAGAACAGCATTAGAAATGGCCATTCATACACTCCTAATTTCTATATTTAATGGTGATCATTTATATCAAGAGATATAAAATATGTCAAGGATTAGACAAGTGCAACCTGCACAAGGGAAATGTGACAGCTGTCAAATCATTACTGCCTTAAATTGCAGGGATAGCAAAGGAAATATCTGCTGTCTGTAATGTGGATTTAGGCAGCTCTATATATGCTAAATACAAATATGTAAAGCTAATATGGAGAAAAATCTAGGCCCAAGCTACCCTATTATATTCCTAATACCATCTGGCACGGATGCAAACTGGGTTTTCCTGGTTTAAGGCAATTCCCATCTCAATCCCACCAAGGAAGGTGATTGACAAACACAAAGAGAATTGAACATGTCAGATGATTTATGGATCTAATGACAGTGGAAGCATCATTATTTATATTGCACCTGCTTTACATTCTAAGCTCTAGAGGCAGATTGAAAAAGGCAACACAGAAAGTCCCTGGGCCTGAAGGGAAAGGGGAATGTTCTGCAGGGACAAGAGTGATCAAATCCTGCACAATGCTGGGGATGAAAAGGAACGGCAGAGATCGGGACAAACACGACCACCACATCTGGGGTTCTGCTGAAAGGTTCAGCCAGGGAATAAATCAGAAATCATCAGAGAATCCCAGAATGGTTTGGGCTGGGAGGGACCTTAAATCCCATCTCTTTCCCATCCCCCTGCCATGGGCAGGGACACCTTCCACTGCCCCAGGGTGCTCCAGCCTTGGACACTTCCAGGGATCCAGGGGCACCCTGTCACCATCCTCACCATCAATCTAACCCTCCTCTGAGTTTGCCATCGTTCCCCCTTGTCCTATCACTCCAGACCTTTTAAAATAGTCTCTCTCCATCTTCCCTGTAGGCTCCTTCAGGTCCTGGCAGGCCACAATGAGGTCACCCCAAAGCTTCTCTTCTCCTGGCAGAACCACGACCATGACTTTGTACCCCAGAGCTGGGGCTGCTTCAGGCCAGAGGTGGAAAATAGTGACAAGAAGAGATCCAGTTTCTCCACATTCCCCCAGCCATCCCAGAAATCCAAGGGTTGTGGGCACAGCTCCTCACCTGACATTAAAAGCCTTTTGATCCAAAACCTTAATGGAACACCAAACAGAAACATCCTCCTGACATGACTGAGAGCAAAAGGAAATGAGACATTTTTTATTTGGCTGCTCCAATTCAATAATGGAAAGTATTTTGTTTTACTAACAAGTAAATTAAATTCCCTGTTCTCGTGTTTTTCCTTTCCGTGCATCACTCAGCTGCTCCTCGGGATGAAAATCCTGTCGTTCTTTTTGATATCATGCAACTGCCACAAGACATATGGCCTGAAGTATGTAACAAAATCCTCACAAATCCACTGAAATGCCTTTTTACTGTCATTGCCTCGCCTGCTACAGAGAAAAACATCCTGCAACCCAAGAATCATTCATGCACTGCAAAAGAGAAAACTCCACTCGTACAAACTACAGAATTAATTGCCAAGATTGAATACTCTGTGAACAGTTGTAAACACAGATTGTACACAAGTCTGAGCTGTCCCAGAGCCCTTTGGACTGGGCTGTCTGACTTGTGGAGTCACGAAAAGGCCTGGGTTTAAGTGAGAACCACACTCAGACTCTCTCCTGCCTGCACCTGGAGCCTAAAATTGGTGAGCTCAAGCCCCCAAAAGCATCACTGCTCCATCCCAGCCCCAGCTTCGCTGCTGTGCCAGAACTGCTTGGTCATGAAAGGCCAAAGCGAGGCCTTTGCCACACTCATTCACACCTTAACCACCAGCCAGACACTATACAGATACAAAAAAACACATTAAATGGTTCTTACAGCATACTGTGTCAAAAAAGGTATCTTTCCTTCCCATCCAAAAAAAATCTGAAGGCACTCATTCGCCCCAAAAGCACGTTAAAATGTTTCCTTCTTGACTTTTTTTTTTTTTTGTCACATTTTTTATCCCTTCCTCTGAAACACCTCAGTGCAAACGAGAGAACTGCAGAGGTAATGAAAGGCACCTGCAGAGGAGCCCAGAGGCTCAAGCAGGTATCTGAAGGCAGGTTCCTGCTAAGGTAGACACCAGCAGACATTCCTGCTTGTCAACTCTCCCTCCTGCCCTCACCTGGAGTGACCTCTCCGCAGTACTTGACCCAAGGAGACCCAAGTGCATCCTCAACACGCTCTCCCAGCTCAGGCTTGAGCTGGATACTAAATTCTGGTGGCTTCTGCTGCTCCAGCTCCGTGCAGGAACCCTTGCTTTCGGTGTTCCCCGCAGCACCAGCCCATCCTGGGAGCTGAGTTAGCACCCCTGGCTCCTACAAAGTCAGCCTGGCAGGCCTGAAAGCTGTTGGACTTGAAATACTCCGCTTTCAAAGTCAACCCAGTCGCTTTGACAGTCAAGACACCCTTGGCTCCCAGAGCCTCTGATTTAATCCTGCTTTTCTGATCCCGTCTGTCACTGAAGCCAGAACACGAAGTACGTGAGCTCTGCGGGTAGTCACACTTCAAAAAAAGGAAAAAAAAAATAAAAAATCAAGGAATCTCATTTTATACTGACCTGTCCGTGATTGTGGACTGTGTGCCACTCATTGGAGCCTTTGGCAAGAAGTCGTATTATCCAATTTACATTTTACTCTTCTTGCAGGAATATGAACGAGGCTTTGCCCCTTACATGCACCGAGGTTCAGGATCCAGCCTTGCTCCAGAAGAGGCATGCACAGAGGACAAACTCAGTTCAAGGGCAGGAGAAGGGAACAAAAAAAAAAAAAAAAAAAAAAAAAAAAAAAAAAAAAAAAAAAAAAAAAAAAAAAAAAAGAACCAACAAAAACCAAACCCAATCCAAAACAACTCCAAAACTCTTCTTTGCAGTCACCCAGAATATCCAAACCACGGAAGTGGGGCGCGGGGGGGATAAAGCAAAAACTCCAGCAAGGAAAAAAACTCCAACAACAACAACAACAAAAATAATCAACAAAACAACCTCGGCGGACGCGGGCGGGGGGTGGAAAAAAGAAGAAACCCTCGTGAAGAGGCGGGCGATGCTCCGAGCGCGGGGGCCCGTGCGGGCTCAGGGGCTGCGCTCGGGGGGCGGGCGGCGCTCCCCGCCCGCGGCCGGGCCCATCCCCGCTGCCCGCCCGGCCTCGCCCGCGGGGCTCGGGCAGGGCGGCCGCCTCTAGGCCCGGGGCTCCATGCCCCGCCGCTCGGCCTCTCGCTGCGGCCCTGCGCCGCTCTGCGCCGCGCTGCTCTCCCGGCCCGCTGGCGGCCCCGGCGCTGCGCGGCTGGGCGAGGCGGGAGCGGCGCGTCCCGGGAGCCTGCGCCGAGCCGGGCCGGGCCGGGCTCGCCCCTCCCCGGCGCCTCCGGGGGGCTCGTACCTCCGGCCGCTCCGCCCCGCCGCCGGATCCCTCCGCCGCCCGCCCTCCTCTTCCTCCTCTTCCTCCTCCCTCTCTCTTCCTTCTCCTGTTTCTCCTCCTTCTCCTCCTTCTCCTTCTTCCCCTCCTCCTTCCCCTCCTTCCCCTCCTCCTTCCCCTCCTTCTCCTCCTTCCCCTCCTTCTCCTCCTTCCCCTTCTTCCCCTCCTTCTCCTCCTTCTCCTCCTCCTCCTTCCCCTCCTTCTTCTCCTTCTCCTCCTTGCCCTCCTTCTCCTCCTTCCCCTCCTTCTCCT